CAGGTTGTGACAACGGGGATAATTTTTTTTTGGAGTGGGGGGGGGGGTTAAGACCTCTGTGACGTCACACTTTGACTGGCTTCGCGTGGTACCAAAACTATCACTATATGGCGGCTGCCATTTAGTGAGCTCTGAGCCACAGAAATGATTAGCAATGGCAACCATCGTATGATTGGCTCAGGGAGCACCATCAAATTAACATGGTTGAGACTACAATGAGAGCGTGATGGAAACCATATTTTTAGTTTTCACAGCCACTTTAATGTTGCATCAATCATATTTTATTGGGCTCCCTGACTTAACCATACGATGGTCGACACATCTAAGATTTTTCCTGGGGTGTAGCGAGATTTAGCGACAGGAGACGGAACCCTCGCATAGCTAGTTGTAGTTCTGTATCAGTCCTCCATAGAACATGGAAATATCGTTATTCGACTAAAAATCGGTACCAGGGCATCAGTATGGAAAAATGTGACGTCGCGTGACTAACTGTGACAATGGGGGGGGGGGGGGGGGGGGAAAAATGACCCAAAAACAGCGTGACATATTTTGTGAACGGCCCCCCTCCCGCCCGCAGTGGTCGGCGCGGTCAAAGAGCCCCTCCCAGGCTGGCTGGACAACCTCAACAGCCCGGCCTCCATGTGGGCCGCGGTGAACATGGGCGTCTTGCGTGTATCCAAACTGTCAAAAAAGGACGCCCTCCTCGACTGGATGCCTGTTGACATCGTCACCAAGGCCACCGTCGTGACGGCGTGGGCTTCGGCCACCAAGCAACTGGAGAGGTGAGTACGTCGTCGTCAGTTAATTTCAGATCCGGCGGGGCGTTTCGTCCTCCACGAGGGGTATGCGGGGGGTGGTGTACTGCCTCCATCGTCCTCCACGAGGGGTAGCCGGGGGTGGTGTACTGCCTCCCCCCGCCCCCCTCGTTCGGTTGTGTCCGATTGTGACCCCCCCCCCCCAACGACCGGAGGGTCCTTTATGGATGGTCCCCACATCAGCGTCCAAGCGCTCTGGTCCTATCATGATTCGTCAGCGACGGGACGACCGTGCCCGTGGTGAACGCGGCCCTCTCGGACGTGCACCCCGTCTCGGACGCGTGTTGCCTGGCCATCTACAAGGAGGTGCAGCGAAGCGTGCCCTTCAGCAGCGCCATCAGGTACCCGGTCTTCGCCCAATACAACAACTGGCTCCAGTACGCGGCAATCCACCTTGTCTACCACCTCATGTTCGGCCTCTTCGTGGACGGACTATTGCGGTTGTCTGGACAGAAACCTCGGTGAGGCCTTCCAGGAGCCCTTTCGCAATCGCAGCCCCATCGTTTTAAGAAGGTCAACTAATAACTAAAAATGTCTTTGTTTCAGGCTTATGAAGGTTTATAGAAAAATAGCAAGTGCAACTGTTGCTTTGCAACCCATAACTGATAAAGTATTTACATTCGAAACATATAAATTCTGGGATCTACAGAGGCTCATGCATCCTGATGATGTCAAAACTTTTGAGTTTGATCTTGATAGCCTAGAACCTAGAAAAGATGCCTTAAATCAGCTAATAGGAATTTGGCATTATGTCTTAAAGGGGAAACTTGACAAAGAGAGAGGACTTCGGCACATTGACAGGTGGGTAATGAACTGGACAAACAAGAAATTATGTGAGAGAATTAACAAAACTAATGTAATTTGCTTGTTTGCAGACTATTTTGGATGGAGATTGGATTCTATGTTTCCCTGGTGGCAATATTGATATACTTGTATCTACCAATTTAGACTAGGGAAACAATGCAAACCATAACTAAACCGCAACATATCAAAAATATATAAAATAAAAAAAAAATTGTTTATAGTGAAGATAAATTTAATTTATTGCTCTTTTCATGTTTTGACAGATATATACAGTATAGACATATAGTATTCTCAACAATGACTAAGCACATCCAATTTGTGAAAGATGTGCAAAGATCACTTAAAAAATGAAATCCTTTAGATCGGTACAAGGAATAACAATATTAAATACTCAGTCACCTCTCAAATCTCAACCTCATTCAAACAAAAGTAAATGATATGGGGGAGGGAGGGTGTTCAGTAAGTACAAAGTGACTAGAAGTACTCAGTTTTTTGTTGCTTTTCCAGAAGTCTGTCCCTTTGAAATGGAATGCATATATTGGCTTGAAAAGTAAACAATGTGGCAGTAGATTTGCAAGAGATAAAAATGCACTTTGTGGCACAGAATTTAGTAATACAATATGTCTTTTTCATTAGATGTGCAATCAGTAGACCAATCTTAAAAAATAATTACAATTAAAAGTACATCAGATACAGTAGACAAAATATCACAACACAAGTTACCATTTGTAAATCACAAACAAAGTAGACCAGAAAGTAATTCCAACAAAAAAATTACAAGGCAGAAATCAATGAAAAGCTTAGCCTATAAACAGAATACAAAATACAATACAGCAATCTTAAAAGAACAGTAACATGTCCTGTATTTCCTTCAAATCTTCATAAGATTAGTGCACAACCTACAAACAACAAAATACAGACACAGGAAAAGAAAAAGCGCATGTGCAGAGCAGAAATAAAACACTTAAAGTGTTTAATGAGAAAGCCTGAGCCACACTTCATTTTTCAGGAGTGCCAAAATTGTTTTCCTAGCTTATACATATAAAAGTCCATCTGTCCATTTTATACTGCTTAATACTGAAAAGTAAATTTTGATAAATATTTTAATATGGTGACATAAGGAATGAATCAGTGAATACATAGAAACTTGAACTGATAGGAATAACATGTGTCGAGACTTTTTACTTTTCACATCATGAGACCGTTGCTAATATGAAGCTAGATTGTTAGGAAATAATAATAAGATTTCTATGGTAAGTCCAAATAAACTTCTCATTTACACTATTTTAAAAAATACACTGAAAAATTCTTTCAATGCAAAAGGAACATAAAATATCACACCTTCAGTCCAAAACTGGATAAATTTTCATTACTTTCTATGTCTTTCTCTTGATTACCAGCACTAATGTTGTTATTATTGTACTGCTTCAAATAGGCTGCATACATCAGTCGAGCTTGGTTCAAGACTCGAGTGACATCATGTTTGCGCACCATTTTATCAAAATGCATAGCTATATCATTGTAATCATAGTTTCTATGCATTATGAAGTCTCGGTGCTGTCTTAAGATAGTTAGACAAAGAAACATTAGAAATGGATTTCCCCCTCCAAATACTGTTGGAGGGGGAAGCCTTGTTAAATGAGCACCTGTGGGCAGTGGCCTTGAACTACTGAGATCAATCGCTTCCTCACAATTTGTATTAGATGTCACCATAACAGCAGGGTCACAAGTACCACCATTTTCATTAACATAACTGACTTGGTTACAAGCTGTTCTACATGAGGAAGCCTCGGTTTGGTAGAGATCCATATTTCTTTCATCAGTCTCATTGTGTTCTTTGGGGTTTTCGCGAATATGGTTTGGTGACGTCAGTTTGTGGTGTAGCAGCCATTCACTGTCTCGCTCTAGATCAGCCTGTTCATCAGGAGTGATGGGACTAGCCTTTAAAGGATTCTCCCACAGAAAAACATCATCTGTTCCGTGATTCTGAAGAAGCGGTACTTTGAGCCCTTCTACTTGGTGATTAAATGAAGTGTCACTTTCTGTATCCAAGTGGGTTGACCCACTACAGGCAGATTCAGTATCCTCAGTGTCATCTGACAATAAACTCTGTCTTGGATTTGGACCAAAAAGCTGTCTATCAAGACCATCTAACTCATTTCGTAACTCTTGTGTCATTGATGTTGTCATGGGAAAATAGTCTGAATCATCAGGAGAGCTGTCACTAGTACTTCTATCATATGTTGAAGTAGAAGCACTTTCAACACTATCGAATGTTTTTTGTTGGTCACTACAACTCTTCAAAACAGTAAAATCGGTATCAGAATCAAAAACTGTGTCGTCCACACTAGTGACTCTCTCTTGCTTTCCTAAGTTGGTCTTGTTCTTCTTGGGACTCAATGAATTATTTCTCTTTAAATTAGAAAAATTTAAAAATTCGTTCAAGTTTTTCACTACACGGGTGCTTTCTTCCTTTCTATTTTGAGACTCTTCTTTAATAGAATCATGGTGTCTATCTAGTTTTTCTAAAGACAACAACAAATTTTTGCAACGACCAGACTGAAATTTCTCTTTCAGGTGACTTCTTACATTACTACGAGGAGAGGCATCCTTTTCTGAAGGAGATTTGAGAGCCCGAGAAACTCTTAGGCAAGTACTATCTTCATTGGGATCAAATTTGATTGCTCCATCAGCTGCAGTTTCTGATGAAGTTGATGAAGTAGCACGTGCTAGAGATGAATCATCTAAACTAGCAAAAGGTTTCACTTTGACCTTCTGGAGTTTCCCTTTGATTGAACCTGTCTCATCAAGACTCTGATTCTGTCTCTGAACAGATACACCGTGCTGAGCTTTGACGCGTGGCAAAAGAGAAGCACCAGATCCCTGTCTTCTTAGAGCACACACCTGCAAAGTACATGGACGCTATGAGACACTATCAAAGCAAAGGAAACCAAGTATAGAATGCTTTGTGCTTTATACAACAGCAAAACCTTACCTTAGTATAAGCGTTTTCTCGGGGTGACTTCAGTAACGGACTAATAGGTGGTGGCGTGAGACCAGATGTAGGGGCCAGAAACTGCACATCATACAGAGGTAATTCCTTTCCAGAATACGTTGGAATCGGTGGAAGTGAGCTCCACATAACTTCCATCATCCTCAATGCATCATCAAAAGCAAATTCTCTTTTCATTTCTAACAACAGCCATCGATAACAGAATAACAGATCATCAGCCTGTAGAAGAGTAGGAGTAGAATATTTTCAATTCAATTACTCATCAAAGACAGCAGCCATTTACAGAGAGTGATGATAAATAATGTAATAAAAGGCTTTACCTGTCGACTTTTCAAAAATGCATAAAATTCAGGGTCATAAAAAAGAAGTCCATCTCCAAGATGTTGAAAGCGTAGAGTCATGGCCATTCCATCTAACATAAAGTTAGGGCTCAAGCGACACATAAGTGCACAGAAGCATATGTATGCATGAGCTTCATCACCCATAGTCACTAATAAGGGTGATGCAAGATCGCTCATGCCTTGACAGTAACTAACAGATGGATGGTTCAAGGCATAGCTGTATAGATAAAGTACACATGATTTGTTTAGAGACATGTATGGCAGCCAGTATATATTAGCAAAATACATACAATTATCAATATCTTACGTAGTCAAAATGTTGAAAAGTGATGCAACATTCTGATTATCATCATTGCCTGCATAAAAGGGATGATGACGGTCTGTCCTTAAAACATCCTTGCGAACCATGCTTGTCACATATGTCAACTCCTGAGAAACCTAAGAAATCAAATTTAGAAAAATAATGTGAAGATGGCCAACAATGATAAGATGAATGTAATTAATACGTATAAGAATTTATGACTATGCAATTCTTTTTGTTAGCTTACCTGATTTTTTTGCATCATATCCTTCCAGTAGTCACGTAGTGAACAATATTCTTGGGCCTTTTTCTTCATATAGTCCATCCGTTCTTTACCAGACATTCCATCTGGGTAAACATTAAGAATGTGCTTCCAAACAACTTTTCTAAAAATAATACCAGAAAGAATAAGACTTCAATTACTTGACCAAAAAAAAAAAAAATGGTACAAGGTTCATAAAATAATGTAAAAATTAAAATACCGTAAACTTGGCTCAATACCACCATAGTATATGACTCTTCTTAGTTCACGACCTTGTACAACCTGCCCAATAGGATCTAAAAATATTCTAAACTGGGCATCTGTTAGAGGTGGGCGGGGCGGCAAGGCTGAAACTGCTGTTGGTTGTGATTCCTCTCCAAGGTTTAAAGCTCTTTGAACCATATTAAATGTTCTTTCCACCTGCATAAGTACAGCCATATAACAAATAAGAGGATGCAGATGATATAAAAGAAAAGGATCACAAGAGGCATGTATTTTTTGTAACCTGATTGAGAATGAGGCCAGGCAAACGATGTTGCATTTTAAGAGCACTGGCTTGAGATTGCTGATGACTTTGAGATTGGTGTGGGGCAGGGCGATGTGGATGTCCTCCTTGGAACTGCTGCATTTGAAGTTGTGGGAGTCTTAAGGCCTCCAAGCCTCTGATAGAAGGCATAATATCAACATCAGTAGATGCTGTTTCATCCCATTCCTCAGCACTATCTTGCAATGGTTTAGGTTCAATTTGGAGTCCCAAGCACGGTTCTGAAGCACTGTTTAAATCATAATTAATGCCCATTAGAGAAAAAATCTGCAAAATAACAATATATTTGGAAAGTTTTCAAACCAATAAATACAGGAATAAATACCTTAGAAACGCAGCATCTAAGTCCCAGTCAGATAGAAGAGATAAGTATGTTTCTTGACCATAATCATCAATGGCTCTATAGGCCACTGTAAACTCCCTGCAAAGAAAAATTGGTTTGAACAATGTTTTACAACCATTGATGTTTTACAACCATCTAGATAAATTCTCATTTAAAAGTCAGTAAACAAGACTAAAGTGTCTCACCCTTTCAAATCAAATGCTTTGGCAATGATACTTTGTAATACTTCAAACGATGTGATCTGGGGGTCCACACTAAACTTGCGATATTCTGGTTGGACCATATTTCCACATTTCTGGAAAATAAAAATAAAAATAACATTTAAAAAGAACAAAACACAGTCATATCAGAAGACGTTGTTTCGGGGGAGAAAATGTGAAACATGCTGGTAAGATTAGTCCGTAACTTAATATCACATACTGTACTTTAAAACAAGAACCGAACCCATTTTTTTTAAAAGACATGTAGTGTCTGAGGAGACAGGGAAACAATTTTTACACATAGTGAAAGAAAAAGAGAGCAAAATAAAAACAAACAAAATTAGATGTAGCTTTAAATTGGGGGTTGACATGGGAGACAGATTGATAATTGACAGGAATAAACTGAAGAGCTGTATCAGGTTATAAATGAAAAGTGGCAAGCATTTGCCAATTTAATAAGTTCTTTGATCTTGAATAACCAGGTTTTGACCCAATGCACCATATGCGACTAACCTGCACTTTGACACGTACAGCTTCTCGGCTGTACCCAAATACACCCGACATTTTGAACAAATTTTAAGAAAATCTGTTGTGGGAATAAAATCGTAAACAGAACACGAGCAGGTCGCTGAATTCGCACATTTTTCACCAAAACAACCGCTTCGATTTTTTGCCGTCTGCTTTCCGTGCAACCGAGTGTCACTAAGCGAATATGCTCCCTCTGCACATTCGAATTGAGATTGCCCAGCGGCATTCCCCGCGAGGTGGCGCCGGTAGCGCGGCGCGACGATTCAACTTACTTCAATGAGGGCTACTTCCCCGACCCTTTTCTCAAGCCCCACGATGGCGAGAGGGAATTCAATTTCAAACTCTATTCGTTTGTCACAGTGTACTGAGATTATCGACATTCAAAACTGCACAGAAAAGAACTTGGCAACTCACGAGGGTAGGCCAACAGAAGAAAGTATAACGACAATTATTTTTCTTTCGTTTTTACTGCTTCCGTCTTACTATTTCTGTTGACGATCGGAGAAACTTCTCTATTTTAGATTTATGTCAATTAATTACGTAAGGGAAAATCCACGACAAAACGGTGAGTGTTGTGCGGCGCGGCTGCGGTAGACTGCGTCAAAGATGCTGTACGATGAGTTGCCTACTCAACGAGGCGCTGACATCAAATCCCCCCAAAAGCGCCAAAGTTAGCGCCTTAAGTGCCATGTAACTTTTTCCTATTGTGTAATCGGCGTGCTCCAATCGGCCTTCGCCAGGAAAACGGCTGGTGTTTGGGCTCGAGGGCGCTGGTGCGGGTGAAGGAGGAGAAGAGACCTGTCAGGTGGGTGGGGGTGGGAGCCGCGGGGAAAATAATCCGTTTAGGGGCTCCGCTAACGGGATTTGTCTGTGACCTTTGGCGCAATGAAGCCTTTGGCAGCTCCGCTCAGCCCGCGCCCCGAGTACGCGCCTGGCCGCTGGGGACTGCGGACTGCGGAAGCGGACTCGCCGCCCATAATCATCCCTTTAGCGCTGCTTGTCGTGCTGTGTCGCCGCTGCCGCGCTGCTCGAGGACGCCGTCGAGAGGATCGCCGGGCACCCGGGACCCGGGACGCGGTCAGGTTCCCGCCGAGGAGGCCCGGTGGGGCCACGAGTCCAGCACGGCGCTCAGCCCGCCTCTGACCAGCGGGCCAGGGGTTCGCCGGCGTACCTGGGAGCAGGAGGAAACAGACTGCGGCCAGATCTGCCTCGTGTTCTGCATCGCTGTGAGCAGCGTGTTCGCACTGGTCGGGCAGGTGGTCGCCTGCCTGCTGTACCGCTTTGGCACCTTTGGCGGCGACTACCACGAGCACTGGCAGTGCCTGCCGTGACCCGCGGCACATGCCGCCCACCTGACCGCACGCCCACCAGGTGAGGGGAACACAAGGAGAGAACAAAATTACGCGCTTTTCAAGGTTTAGTGCCATTTGTGTGCCTTTGAAGTCAGAGTTAGAAGTGTGTATGGGGGAATAGATCCCGATGGGTAACATTTTTCTGATGTAACACTCATGCGATTCTGAAACTAGGAAATTGTCCCAGCCCCTGAAAATGATGAGAGGACAATGGTATCGTGCCGCCCCTGATGTGCGTCTTTGGCCCGCAGCGCTGCCAAGGCCGGGCCTCAGCCTCGGCCATGCGGTGGTGGACCGAGGAGGCCGACTGGCTGGGGGCCCGCCTGGACCGCTGGCTGGCCGCGTGCCAGGGCCTGGGCCACGGCCTCGGCCAGGGCTACAGCAAGCTGCACTCGAGTGACAGACAGCCTCGGCACCGGGCGGCCGGGGTCGGAGGCGCCCCCAGGAACCCCCTGCGCACGTGCGCACAGCGGCTGCAGAGCATCATCAGCGCCAGCCACGTCGGGAAGCCCGAGAGGGAGTCCGAGAGGGCGTCCGGCTCGCGGCCGCGGCGGCGACAAGCGGACCAACAGCGCGCGCCGGCGCCCACCACGCCCACCGCCATCGTCTTCGAGAAGTGCAGGCCGCGTCACGGCGGGGCGGGCGCGTCGCCCTCTCTCCCCGCCGTGGACATCGTCTACTACCCGTTCCGCGTAGAGAACTGCGTGGTGTGTCGCCAGCTGGGCGCGGCCGGCACGGCCGGCGCAGCGGGCGCGGCGCCCGCGAGTTCAGGAGGCGCTCCCTCGACGGCCACCCTGGCCGCAGTGCCGTGCCCCCAGGAGGGCTGCTGCGCGCCGTACGTGCCCACGCCGCAGCAGCAGGCCTCGGGGGCCTCGGGGGCGCTGCTGTTCCGAGGCCAGGAGGCTCTGCCGCCGCCACCGCCGAGGCCACACTGCGGCGAGCGCGAGCCCGTCATCTCCATGAACCAGGACTACATCGAGGTGCGCTACGACCGGCCGCCACCGTCGCCGCCCCTCGCGCAGTGCTCCCCGGTCGCGGGCGAGCAGCCGCCGCCGTCCTACCAGGCCGCCATGCGGCACGCCGTGTTCGACGGGCGGGAGGACTCCCTGATCGGGGACCTCGCCCTGTTCTCGCCGCGCCTCGCCAGGGCGCCCACTCCGCGCTACAGCGCCTACCCGTGCGGCGAGGACGACGACGACGAGGTGGACGACGAGGAGACCATCTACTCGCGCAACAGCGTGGCGGCTGTCCTGGAACAGGAGATGCAGGCCTCGTGGCGAAGGCAACAGCAGTGCTGCCGTCCGCCGACGCGCTTCCGCAGCCGAGGCAAGTTCTCCAGCGTCATGTACGAGACGCAGCGCATGTTCGAGGAGGCGTTCCACGTCACGGGCGAGGAGGCCCCCGTGGCGGTGCAGCTGCCCGCGCGGGTCCCGGGGCGGCACGTGGCTCCCCGCTCGGCCGGCGCCGGCCCCGCCATGACGAGGGCGTGGTCCGTGCACGGCCCCAGCCCGACCGCGGGGCTCCGCGAGGTGGAGATGCCCCACCACGGCCTCGGCCCCGGCCTCCGCAGTCTGCTCAGCATCCGCAGGAGGCCCGCCAAGGGCAGCGGCCCGCCAGGCCCGGCCTCGGCACAGGCCCGCGGCTATCCGGGCGAGGCCGGGGCGGCCGTCGCGCGCTGCTCCGGCAGGCCGCAGAAGAAGGTGGTGGTCGGCGAGCGAGGCCTCCGCGGCCCCGTGTGGCCCAGGGTCATCCTGACTTTTGACCGCGGCGTGACACCCTACCAGACCCGCGCACAGTAGCTCCACGGCTCCCCCGGGACCGACCCCGTGCGGCAGGATTGCCGTTTGTCGAGCGCAAAGGAAGGCGGCGCGCAAGTTAAGCACCCTAGAAGCGCGAGTCTGCCCAGAGGGATTGGGAAGAAGGCAAAGTAAGGACAGGCTGAGGCTGCTGGGTAGGGGAGGGGTAGGGGAGAGGGCGGGGTGACAGAGTCCTCGCCGCCCTGGTCCTCCCCGACCCGACCACCCTTAGCATGCCCGGCCCGCCGCGCGTCCTAAGTACCTCCGACCGGCCCCGTCAAGCTAACTCAATCCTGCGGTGGGACAGCGCAGAGCCCGCGGCATGCAAAATGATCACAAATATGACGTCCCGGCGCGAGGCGGGCCGCCCTCGGCTTCCGCGCCCCACCCCTGCCGCCGCCACCGCCCTCCGCCCCTCGCCACCCCTCACGCTCCGGCCCTCCAGCTCCAGCCCGGAGAACTGATAAAAGGCGCGCTGGAGCAGCTTCGAGTCTCATTCGACGCACCACGACGGCCCGGAGAACAGGTAAGTGCAGGGGAGGGGGAAGGGACGGGGCAAGCCAGGACAGCGAGCAGGGGCTGAGCGGGCCGCCGGCTCCACGCATGAGCTCGGCGGGTCAGCCTACCCAGCGCGTTGCAGGCGCCATCCGTAGGGATCGCGGGGGGGGGGGGCATAGACACCCGTCGGGAGCGGATGGGGGGATGGCGGACCCGTGACGAGGCAGAGCGGGAAGCCCGCCCAACAACGCTTCCTTCTGTCGCTTCGCCAGGGGATCGTCGCTTCAACGAACGTTCGTTCTGTGGTGCATGTGGTTCAGGAGAAAAATTATTAGCACGCATAACAAAATCGTTTGGATGACTGGTTAAAAACTTACTTCAACCACACAAGCCGACACGAGCTCAGGCACGGATTAAAGGAGGGGGGGGGGTCTACAGAGCCACCTGAAGGGTAGGCAATTTGCGCTACAAAACCCCCGCTTGTATGCAACCGATAGTGCATCGCCCTCGCTGTCAGCTGGGCCTTCACCCGGGCCTGCCTGAGTTCTACCATCCAAGACTCTGGGTCCAGAAAGTACGTCCGTCGTTACGAAACGGCCACGTTTAATAATCCAACGCTAGCTCTCATAGCGCCTGATGGGTAGGCAACAGCTTGCCCACAGTGCATGCGTGTATTGCGGGTTGGCCTACCCGGAGTCTCGCAGGCGCCGAGCTCCCGCAATGTGCCGAACAAATCTGAGCAAAACGGACGTACTTTCTGGACGCTCCCTATTCCCATGCACCCGCCAAGCCGAGGTGTGCCATTGAGCCGGGGGACTAGGAACGCTCTCGCCCCGCGGTAAGGTAGACGTGGCCCATGTAGTGCATATTCGTTTCGCACGTGCGGTTATTGAACCTATGATGATGAAAATAAAAATAAAATAAAAATAGGTGGTATGCTTGACTCACTCGGGACTTCCCTCCAGCAGGTCCTGCCAGGCCATGTCTCGGCGCCGTGCCCCCGCTGCAGCCTGGCTCTCACTCATGCTCCTCGTGGCGACGGTGGTCTCCGCGGCGCCCAGCGTCGAGTCGGCGGGAGGGGCGTCATCGGCCAGGACGGTGCGGGCGAGGGTGGCGAGCGGAGGCGGCAGCGGCGGCGCCGGAGCCGTCGGCCTCGGCGTCGGCTCGCGGCTGCGAAGGTTCCCGCTGATGCAAGTGCCGCTGGACATCATGGACGACGACGAGGACGCGCTCTTCGAGGCCAACAAGCGCCAGATGTCGGACGACTACGGACACATGCGCTTCGGCAAGCGCGGAGGCGGCGACAACGACTTCCCAGAGTACGGACACATGAGGTTTGGTAGAGCTGCGCAGTAGCTAACTAAGGATTTATGTATTCAGATACAGTATTGCCTAAGGGCTGACTTAGGACCGCAGTCTCTTCCGTTACTGTAAGCCACTGTCATTCTTCCTAATAAAGTAGAAAAAAGCAATCAAATACAGTTTTAAAGAGCAGTTAACCAGTTTTTCCAGTTGAAATTTATTTGCAATCATTTTTCTGAGAGCACTGTCAGTTAAAAAATTAAAATAGTAAAAAAACAAACAAAAAAAACAACCATTGCAACATGTAAAGCATGGCACATAAAACTAATAAGGCTGGAAAGGCGAAAGTGCAGACATCTTCTGCAAATATTATGGTGTTATGTGTATGATGTGAAAACTCTTCTTGTGAAAACTACAACTTTTGAATAAAACTGAGTTTTCAAAAAATAACAATGATATAGTTTTCCACCACAATCCCTCAGTCAGTGACACACTGACATCATTCAGCTCTAAATTGACAAGCTTAACAGTAAAGCAGTTGCTCTTTTGACCCAATGATCTGATGTTTCTGCTCCACACTTCAAGTCCACCGGTAACACAAAGGCTTCTCTACCCTGAGTGCCACACCGCTGAGGAACGTAGTAACAGGGGCAGCTGTACAACCCTGAACATAATAATGATTCATTAGAATGAAGAACATTTCACCCATACTAAGATGCTTTTTAATACCTTTAGTTTTCTTTTTGGCAAATTCAACTGGTTTGAAATGAATCACAGGCATACTGACAATCAACTGCATTGGCAAAGGTTCGACCAGACAGGATGTCTTTCTATCCCACCCAGCTCCTTCCAGAAACATGGAACGAATGTATACGCCCTCCTGTAATTGAAATAAGGAGAAAAAAAATCAAGCAATGCTAATTTTTGGTGGGGTGGTTCTTTGCTGTGGTAAAATCAGGGATGCAAGTTGCTTACTTGGGGACCAGTCACAAGAGTGTTTTCTTCCACTTGAAGCACTGTAAATTCCCAAGACAATGTATCTATTGGCACAGCTAAGGATCGTGCAGATGTCTGTAAGAATTTAAACAAAACAGGAAAAAGATAAATCAAAAGGTAAGAGACAAAAAATAAAAAAATAGATTGATGTAGTCAAGGACTTCCTGCTTCCCTCCAGCTTTTCTGCTGTTCTTTTAGAATACTAATGATAACCATTATTGTACCTGGAGAACAGCTGTGAGAAAACCAGTTGGGAATGTGAAAGCAGCAAGCCAAAATAAAACAGGAGAATGTGTTGTCTCAGCCCAGTGAGAGAAGTGTTCAACACGGAGTGAGAGATCTCTGGTCCATGATCCCAGGGGCATCATAGATGAATATGCTAAAGAGAAATAGACAAGCAAGACTCTTTAGAAAAGTACTTGGGAACAAAAATTTATTATGTAGGAAATGATTACCTCTTAGCCAGGCAGGGGGTACTCTGCCTTCATAGATGCAATCAAGGATCTCCTCCAACTGAGATGACATAACAACCTCTCCACGAATAGCTTTTTGCAGGTCTTTCAATGAATCCCTGATGGTGACTAAGAGACTATTGTACCTTGATATCTATGTGAATATACAGGAAAATTAAATCAATAATTCCATTTGAACTGGAAATCTGCAGAATATAAAAAGTAGGAAATGTGGAGTATACCTCTTGAAGGAGAACAACATCCAATGGTGATTTAGTTGACCCAATAAGATTTTCAGTTCTCTCAAAGTCTATAGGTTCAGGTATTTTCATTAGAACATCAGCTGCCAACTGAGACACCTAGAAAAAGGAATGCAGGGAGCTTGAGTTATTACATAGTTTCTAGATGATTAAACTATCAAGATTTGAAAAGTCACTAATTTGTAATAAACAGTAAAAACAGTAAAAACTCACTTGGTCCTCTTTCTTTTCCCCCTCCCTCCCAGACGAAGATGATTGAATAGAAGTCAAAGTTTCTGTTAAAATTCGTGTTTCAGATATTAGAGCGGTAATGTCAGCATTTGGATGCTGACCAAAAGCCAGAGGGTCATCAATAGCTGGTAAAACATTGATGTAGTCCCTGTACGACTGTAGCGATCCATCTCTCGGTATATGATAGGTTGTTAAAGATGATAACCTGGTACAAAAAACAATGAGCATGTAGTGGCAGTATAAGAAAAGGTAAAACACGCTTTTAAAATATTGGGTAGACAGAAATACCGGAATGAGGGCTCAAGGGCATCATTACAAAATAATTGGGATATATAGGTTTGCAAGAGACGGCGATCCCAGTCATCAGTGACGTGCCCACCATAACAGACACCAGCAATCAAGTACTTCAAAGCATCCCATGGGGTATCTTCATACTCATCAAGATATAATGAGAGTAAATTTTCAGAGACCTGCCCAACAAAATGTTATTTTGTTGAAGATTTTTCATATACTTTCAATGTGAAACCAAAAATGTATTATTTATAAGAAAGAAAATCACCTCAAAATCCGAATCATTGAAACTATAGACAATATTCCACCCTAATTGCTGGAATTTTTTACGCTCAATGAGAATCGCATGGAAAAAGCATAATCCAAAGAGTAGTTTCTTATACTTGGCGGCATGCTTACAGGCAGCAAAGGTATTTTCAGTCATAGAGTGATAAAGACGTTTGAGGTTTGCTTTCAAGCCCTGAAAAATGAAATGAAAGTGTTAACCTAATAAGAATGAGAGAAGAAACCTATTCTTCCTAAGTCACCATGAAAGAAATAAATGCTCGGTACATTTGGTGTACCTTTGGGGGTTCTGTGGTCATTTTTATACCAGCTTGGAGTATGGGAATAGGGAAACCGGGAGTGGGACTTGAGCTCAGCCAAAGCCTGATACAGGTACCAAGACACAGAACCATAAGGCATGTGTTCAGAATTCAGTCCAGGTTCTCAAGATTGGTGAACACTTTTCAGAAATTATAAATGTACAAAGTATGAAACCCATAATACCTGAATCGTGGATGTACATTTTGTGACTGCAAATTCTCAATCATTTTGTCAAGACTTGGCATCCAGCTTAGAGATAGGTGACAATTAGCCAAAAACACCCAATCACCATCTCTAATGCCCTTTTCCATTAGCCTTGAAGCAATAGGTGCCTGACCTTGACCAAGGGAAAGAGATTGAAAATGATCCATCATTTGCATGCTCTCAGCGAGCTGGAGCAAAGATGCAGTTGGATCAACACCAGGCGAAAGCACAAATATTAAAGGAGTTTGGGGAATAGAATCTTCAAACACAGAGCGTATGTCCAGAACTGGTGGCTCTACAAATCTTGTCCCAAGTGTATTTACTATAAAGGCAGATACACAGAATGTGACACGATCAGGTCTTAATGCCCTGACAATTAGTATTCTTTGGAATTCAGTACATTGCTCTTGCCATTCTCCTACAGAAATATTAAAAGTTTCATTTAAATGTTTCTTCACATACCAACTGGAAAAAATAAATTAGAATAATACCTATGAGGGGACTATTTTCAGGATTTTGCTGGGTGTACCAAGAGTGCCAATCACGTGCAAATTGTTCAAATGAAGAAACTAAACCATGGAACCCAGGCAGTTTATCCAGTTCTGTTATATTATCCCAACACACAGGATCCAGCCAAGCTAGAGAATGCATACAATTATTTATAAGTCAGTATCATCTGTAGAAGAAGATTAAAATAGTATCTGCTTGCTTACCACAAGGGTTGTCTGGTTGAGTTGCTCTATCCAAAACAACACCTCCTTTGAGAAAAAAGTTATACTCCACATGACTCATTTTCATCTGAGCCTCTAAAATTCTAATACACATAAAGAAAGCAAATAGTAATTTATGTTTCTCAAAAAGAGCACGACAAGTGTTCCTGTAAAATTAATGCATTGTTTTTATCATTCTAAATTGTTGACAAATAGAAATCAGAAATTAAAAGAAAACATTAAGATCAATCCACTTACTTGAAAAATGAATAGCTATGATATTCATTGAGATTCACAATTCTGTCTTCCCTTTGACTGCTTTTAGGACTCTTTTCAATAGAAATAATAAATAACTGTATATATGATTCTAAGGAAAATTGATACATTGGATCAATCCGACTCAAATCATTCAGAACAAAGAACAGTATTGATGCTCTTTGAGCACAGGGACGATAAGCCTTGACAATAATGAAACAATTAATTAATAACTGGTAGTATAACTTAACAACCATTCTGTACTTCAAAGAATTCAATTACCTCTCTTGCAGAATCAATTTCAATTTCTGTGATCTCAGATGTCTGTAGAGACTGGGTAATAGAAATAGAAGTAGCTTTTGAAACTTGAAGTGTAGAGAAAAGTTCTTCATTGTCTAATAAGGAACCTTCACTTTCGTTCAAAAGGCGCAGCAGTTCGTCTTCCAACGTTTTTAAAGTCTTTTTACCATCAGCAATTGACAGCACGAGCTGATCTTTCTGTTCCTCCAATTCTGGTTTCTCTTTACGAACAACTATACCCAATAGCTGTCCTTCAAGTCCTTAAATAAAAGAGTAAGATGGTCAACAAAATTCTTCAAAGAGGTACCTTTGAAAAATAAAGGTTTTAAATTGCTATTACCTTCCTCTTTAATAGCAAAATTTACAATAGTTGTTTTAGTTGAGACTTCTGGGGCATAATGTGGGTTTGGAAGTTTTGTTGTCATGAAAAACCTGAAGTTAGGATGATATTGTACTGTGTGGTCACCCATTTTCAGCTGAAGTGTGTTCCCTTTAAACCAAAGAATATTTAGATTTCCACTCACACAATAGTACTCGATCAAGTATGAGAGAATACTGTGCATTAAAATCCTCACCAACTTGTATGATTGCCTTTGATAGAATTGGCTCGATAGCTGGGTCAAGGGTTTCTGTGACATTTTGCAGTAACACTGGTTCACCCTTCTTAATTGCCAATTCAATTTCTTGCAGGAAACTATGTTGCCCTGAATCAACAACATGAAGACCCTGAATTTGAATAAATATTAGGTTAATGAAGTTCCTAAATATTGTGTTGACACCTTGACAAAACTATGAAAAATGAAATACCTGGGCCTCCTCCATGTTTCTAATCCAACGCCAAGCTTGACATTGAGGATCAATAATGAGAGGCCATCGGTTGGCACGAGTAACAATCACACCATTTTCTGTGCTGAATAAATCTGTGGGTAAGCCTTGAATATTCCATTCTCTGATTGTTGTTGGATCAGTCAAAAAGTTAAAGAGGGACCAATCTGACGAAAATGGGACCTCCTTTTCTATAATCTAGAAAATTCAATGGGAATGAAGAGGTAACTTAAAATTATAAACTTACATAGAAACTATTAAAAACAACAACAACAAAAACAAAAAAAAACACATTCACAAAGTTTATGGACTACCTACACCCTTCCTCCACATTTCTAACATTTCATCTCTGTACAGAGTTACAAATGGACCTAAATATGCCACACTGGCAATTGCAAGTAGCACATCACCCGGCAGTAGATCAAACTGATAGTCTAAATGAGCTACTGTCTGTGTCCATCTTTCTCGTTCACCAGCTAGACCATCCACTAATGCTGCAGCACGTTCCAATTTTGCCAGTAATTGAGCAGCCTGAAATAATTCATCCAGTAATGTCAATAATATCAATCAGTCATCAAAACAATCATCAAAACAACGACTCTGGCAGCATGGACATGTCAAAGTACATATGTAGTCAATATAAACATTTACACAACCTTATCTCTTAGTTCTTCCTTATGTTTAAGTTTGTCGTCATACTCTGTTTTTAATCTCTCCAATGTTTCAGCCAGCTCCTGTAATTTTGCTTCTGCAGCAGCAAGCATTTGTTGCTTCTCTCTTAGAGATGCCAAAGCAGCATCTCGCTTTTCAATTTTAGGGGCCACAATTCTGCAAATAATTTTATTTTAGGATATTTCTAAAACATTATTCTGAAAACAAATTACATGTTTTATTACACAAATGTTTTAAATTTACCTGTATATTTTAGCATACTTTTCAATAGCTTTCACCCACATACATAAACTTTTGGCAGCTGTTGAAACAACACCCACAGCTTCTGGATCAAATTCTTCTCTAGATGTGTATGTACCAACTTTTTTAAGAACTCTATCAGAAATGTGGTCTTTGTCAAAATCACGCAGCTTGAATAATGGATAAATGAATTAATGTCACATTAAAAAAATAAAGAGCCTCCAAATACTTGTATTTTCTAACAGACCTTGTTCAAAAACTCAACATCACCAAGTTGTCGTTTTGCTTCAGCCCAAGTTGGTTCAACTTTTTTAAGAATCATTACTGCTTCCATGACCATTTCAACCTTGTAAGGAGGCTTAGGATAAGACTTTATTTCAGTGAGATCTTTTTTATTTAATGCGTCTAAGGCCTGAAGTAGAGAAGAATATTAATGAAATATAAGTAAAAGTAAACAAAAGAGTAATAAGAATGTGATATGCAAATCTTCCACACAACCTACATGCATGGCCTCTTCGAGGGCTGGCATAGCTTCATCAAGATCTGCTTGTGCTGTAGCAGCAAGCTTTTTGCACACAACCTCCTCTTCACCAATTTTCAATTTTTTGACAGCTACTTCTTTCTGTTGGAGGTCAGCCTCTCGTTGTTGAGCCACAATTATGACAAGGTAATCATCACATTGCTTTTGGAATTCCATTACTGTTCAGAACAGACCAAATAAAAATTAAAACTTACAAAAGAAAGGAAGAAAGAAAGAATATCTAAAGAAAATATATCATGACCATACCTTGTGTCTGTGCAACCTCAAGTTCAACTGACATGACTTCAACTTTCTCGCGAGTCTCATCAATCTTACTAAGCCCACTTCTTAACTTGTTTGCAGCATTTGAAAGCTCATCCCTTTTCTCATTGAGCATTCTACATTAAAGAAGACAAGTTAGACACAATGTTGAGTTTCCTGAAATTTATCTGTTATGCTAGGTGGCCAGCTAAACCCTGGACTGACCAGTGAAATTCGGTAAACCTTAGGTATTGCAACTTTCACTACCGGTACTGGCTGTTCCTAAGGTCGAACAGGTTCAGCAATCAGCAACACCAAACTTGCTGAACCTAGGATCAGCCAGCAGTAAAAGTAGTGGTGACTTTTGGATAACCAAATTGGACTGATCAATCCTTTTGCTAGCTAGCTAATCATAGGTCACAGGTTTAGTTACCCACTTGACTCTAAACATGACAAATTTACTGAAACTGTGCTTACTTTTTATAACCAGCCACAAGCTCAAGATAGTTTGTTGGTGTGACATAATTATATCTCTTCATTTCAATCATCATCTTTTTGGAGTAATAACAGACAGAGCTATGAACAGTTGAGAAGATGAATGATAATGCGGCACGAATTTTATCCTGGGAAAATTAAAAAAAACTTAATAAGAAACAAACTAAACAGAATTTAAGATTATTCCGAAAGAATTAAGACCTGGGGTGACTCAAACAATGTGTCCTCCATTGTTTCAACCTGAAATTGTAAACAAACCTTGGGTGAGTATCTAAAATGACAAACATAACTAAAACACTTAATTAGATACCATTAATTATTCAAGAAATACATACAACCCTTGCAATTGGAGCACCAGTTATTGAGACAAGTAAATCCACCCCTCTCAAATACTTATCAGCAACCTCCAAGAGTGCCTCCTTGGGCCACTCCATAAACCAATCAATAGAAGTGCAGTTAATTAAAGCAGGATACTGTCGTAAACGGTCCCTTAAAAGGTAAATTGTAATTATTAGTGGCAATGTTGTACCCCTCCCACCGCCTACCGCCATAAAACAAGAGTGAAGATATAAACGGTCATTACCTAAAAGCTTCGCCAATAGGACTGAGGCAAAGGATGACATGTAAGTTAGAACGAACACGGTCAATGAGGAAATTATAAATGGCCTCAGTGGTGTGTGGTATTTTCTGACGGCGAATTGCATCCTCCAGGCGGTTTTTAATCTATTCAAAATTAAAGCTCAATATTATTGGATGTAAGAAAGCAACACTATAAATCTAGTTGCTTTACTTCTATGATTCAGGAATTGTTGCTAATCACCTCCTCAAATTCATCGGGTTTATAGAGATTCGGTACTTCACCACTGCTGAGAATATTATTGATGACTTCCACAAACCGTTCATCAGTAATCTTAGATAGAGGGAAACAAAAACATTCGATTTATTTTTATCAATCCATGTTGTGAGGAAATTAAAGGAAGACAGAACCATACATACCTGTGCGTCAGAATAAAGAAAACATGATGGTTTATTTTCAAGTCCTGCCATAGCGTAGAGTAACTTCATATCCTCTTTAAACTCCTGTAGCCGATAAAATTTGGTAACCTCTACCCTAAACACAGATAGGTTGCAAAGAAGCGTTGCTATTTTTGATAAAGATTGTCTTCCGCTACCACCTAAAATAAGTAATGAATTGTTTTGATTTGTTGGTTCAATACGTTTCTTTGAAAGGATTACCAAAAAAACTCACCAACACCAATGAGAAGCATGTTTCCACGTGGTTGAGTTAGAACACGAGCAATGCGAGTGACATGCTCAATTGCATCTTGAAACAGAACAAGGTCTAATGGAACTATACCAGGCTTCATGTTGTAATCTTGTAGCAAGTCATTCAAAAATTTACGAAGTGCTGGCATATCAATTAAATCTTCATAAATATTACTTTTATTACAAAAGTCTCCTAAAAATATTAGTAATGAGTTTAAATGAAACATATTTTAAAAACAACAGCAAAAACACAACTGATTTCGATTTTACATAAGATTATAATTACTGACCAAATATGGGGGGCTTCTTGGAAGGACACACACTGTGGAAGGTCTGTTCAAAGTATTTTCCAAGAATGTCATTAACAAAGTCATAAAAAATGTCATGGTCTCTGGAACAAAGACAGGGGTACAAAACTGAAAATAAATTAATACTGATGCACAGCTTTTAATAATAAGCTGTAGTAATTATATTTTTAAGCATTCTTTTAGTATTTAGAATATTTCATAGCTTAAATTTACTTTTTATCAACCAAGCGGTCACTGAAGACACGGAAACATTCATGGACCCAAAGACGAAGCAAGGAATTTGTTGTATTTTGATAGTCTTTATGGCTACGTAAAAGCCCCTGGAAAACCTGAACACAAGAATAGAAAGTGAAGGATGCAATTTGCTGAGACAGAAAAACTACATCCACAAGACTGCATGGACTGTACCTTTGAAATATCCCGAAGGTTAAAGAGATAATGCATTTTAGCTGGCGTAGGAAGCATTTTTCGAGTAACATTTTCATACAAGTCCACAGTTGCCTGTGTTATATTTGAGGCTATAGAAAAAATGGAAAAAGTAAGTTAAAAAACTATTTTTAGAAGGAAAAACACATTTCCAATACTTACCAATTTGTTTTAACTGTTCATCAAAATCTGACAGATGCTGGTTTAACATAGTACCAAAAATACGCAGAATAGACGCTTCGGAAGGAAAAGTCATATTAATTATACTGAACCGACTGAGAAGCCTATTACTTATTGTATTTCTGCCTCCGCCAGGAGGTCCCATGGCCGCCATAAGAAATATATCCTAAAAGTACAAGTAAAGATACTACACTTATCTTAACTTATTTAACATTCAACTAAGATTCAGGATACTGACCTTGACAAAAGTGCGAACCTGCTTTGCTCTGTCATACCAAAATCCATAATCTATCCATTGCCTTATGAGCTCTAGTGGAGGCTGAGCACCATAAACTTCTTTTGCAGGCATGTTTAAATCATCCATAAACGTCAACATGGATTTACCTAATGTGAGTAAATGAGTTCTAGATAGGTTTACAATGTAAATTAAAAAATAACAAATCTATAAAAGTTATGTAAAATTACCTTCCCGAGGAACATACACTCCCTTGGTCCTTTTTTCAAGACGGCTTTCAATCATGTCTTGAACATTTTTAGAAGTTGTCTTAAAGTTTAAAAAAATATTTTACCTAAGTTTCTCCACAATGTTTCCTATTTATGAATAATTTACATATGGCATACCTGAGCAGACATGTTGATCACAAGCATAAACATTTTAAGACGGTCCATTGACTCTAGGACAGTTGATGCCGTGGATGTTTTACCTGTACCAACTGGCCCAACAAGAAGGGGGCGATAACCAGTTTTTAAGAGGTGTGATATCACAAATTCATAACGGACTGTATCCACAGTTGGCACAATTATTTTAAAGAAGGGAAGGCTGTAACACAGGAAACACAAATACAGTGATCTTTGAGAAACTCAGAGATAAGAATAGAAGGAGTTAAAGATACTTACGAAGCATTGAACTTCCAACTATCTGAAAGTTTATCTTCCCAGTTTGCAAATGAAACTGCTCTTACGTCAACATAATACTCATAGATAGTATCTTTGAGGGGGAAAACTCCTTCCATTTCACGGACAAAGTTGTCCAATTTCCTGCGTCCGATCTCATCAACACCAGCGCACAGGGACCACACCATACTACAATAAAATAATTAAGAGTAAGTCTTTTTTCTTACGAAGCAAGGCAAAATGTTTAAAAGTGGAACTCCAACAAAAACAAACCAGAAAAGGAACCACAACTTAGATAGAGGAGCAAAATTTTCTTCATCTGCTGGATCTACTCCATTTTCTTTGGTTGCCAGTATTGAAAGCAAATTGCACAGGGTAGATATAGCACTTATTTCAGCTACAGGGATTGGCTCAAAACAGTGCAACCTTTTGAATTCAAGAACAGGATTGACATAATGTTCAAAATACTCTTTCATCTGGGGATAGGGGGAAAAGATTTGTGATCAAGTTAGATTTTGGTCTAGCTGGATAGAGCAGGACACTTTTTAGAAGTGGAGGGTTTACTTGTATAGATAAATGTTTGTTCTGGGTCTCTAGCCATGAGTCAACATAAGGTTTCCACCCAAAATCTTTGTAATCATTGTACACTATACCACATCGAGAAACTGTTGCCGGAGATGCTTCAGCTAAATCTTCTACTTCAAAAAGCAAAGACACCTATAGGAAAAATAAGGAGGAAAGTGGTATTTAAGAATACAGCTGACCAACCAGTAAAAGAAAATAATAAATAAATGTGTTACCTGATCAGGCATTGTGATGCGTTCACTATTTACTAATGTTAAGACTTTATTGTCATCCATTACACTATTCATGTTCTCTATCCACACTGCATCAACAGGCCCATCAAATAGGACCCACTTCTCATCAGGAGTTGATGCTACAAGAAAATTGCAGTATCCTCTCTTCAGCAACACAATAAAAACTTAGAATTATTGAAACAAGTGGTGAGTAATACTAACATGCACAGCTGGATCGCATTATGTTGGATATCACTCCATCCATCCATTCATTGGTGGCTAGGTTGAACTCGCCATACAATTCTGCAAGATTCAGTGCTTTTGGATTGATAGGAAATTCCTTCAAAGATAACAAGAATACATTAGGGAGATGTGAGCTGAAGAATTATCATCATGTTGTTTTCTTCAAAGGTCATAATACATATATATCTTTTGTAAAATGCTGTCATACCATACCTCCACTTTGTTGTAATTAGTTTTTCCACTCAGATGAAGGCGTGTGAGAGCTCCTTTCAATACCTTCCACGTCGTAGATTTTGCAGCACCAGTTTTGCCAACAAGTACAGCTGAATGGCGAGAATTTTTGGTCTCAAAGAGTTGTATTACTTTCTGCTTAGCAATGTCAGTAACCTTAATGAGAAAATAAATAATATTCTCAGTAAAGAGAGGGTCTGTGCAGTTTTGAAGTAAAGGAGGTTTGCCAAAGAACCCATACAGTATGGAATAATACTAAGATAAATTTTAAGAATTTACCTGCAGTTTCTTGTCCTGAAATTCTGCTTCTACTACCTCAATCAACTCAGTGTAATCTATCTGCGGAGTATCAACTTCTGGGAAAAGATCATTTAAAATTCCCAGAAGTAAAGGCACGTCATCCTTTGCCAGCTTTGCCAAGTTCATGTCTTTCATAGCAAGCAAAACAACCTGTACATTAAAATAAATAGAATCTTAAGTGCTCAAACAAAACAGACATTTAATTGAAATACTCATGTACCTGTTCATCTGGCAAATGGGACTGACTTCTCCTCTTTTTTCCAGCATACCGAATTAAGGTGACAAGCCCTCGCAGTCCCCATTCATAATGATCCTGTTTGCTTAGTTGCTGCTTTGATAGTGAAAATAATGTGAAAACCTTAAAAAGAAATGATGACACACACCGTACATTAACACATTGGGAATGTGGCCTGCGGCTGCGGCTCTTTATTGATGTCTATGATTTAACATGGGAGGGTGACCACATAATGGTCATGCCGCAGGGAACATGTTAATGCATGAAAGGAAGGCTGTATGGAGAGGTAACTGTGAGTGTCTAGATATTTACACAGGTCTCCGGGAGCATGCAATTTTACCTTTTTGGCCAGAGTCTTTGTTTCTCTAAAACCTTCAGCAAAGAGCATTATTTCTGCAATCATAGCACTGTCAGGAACCATCATAGCTATTGGTCTAAACATAGACTTTAGATTGTCTGGTAGTTCAGTACGACCAGCGTAACCTTCCAAGAACAGACATACAGTATGTGAGAACAAAGTAAACAAAAAAGTATAGTTTCAAAAGTGTTGAAAAACGAGAATTTAATTTAAGAGTTTTAAGCAGTACCTGGATTCATAGTGATGAAGATTCCACATGAATCTACAAGGTTAATTTCACTACCTTCAAAAATAAATTGCTTATTTTTGCCTGATAAGGCAGTTAAAATGCAGAGTATTTGCTGAGCCACAACAGAAAGTACTTCAATATTAATTCGGTTGAATTCATCAAAACATCCCCAAGCACCAGTTTGTGACAGGCCTGTCGTTCAAAAACATACAATCCACCTATAATTTCTAATCAATCATGAACATCAATAAAATGTATATGTAGTACAAAATCCTTACCAGAAAACATTTTTCCAATACTTTTATAGTCTAAGCCTTCTGAACAATTGATAACAATGACATATAAGCCCAAGGCCTTTCCCAAATCTTTGACAGTTTCTGTTTTTCCAGTTCCTGCTGGACCTTTGGGACTCCCACCTCGATGGAGGTGAAGAGCTGTTGTTAATGTTATGTAACATCTGAAATAATTTAGATCAACAGTGAAGAAATATAAAACTCCAAGACAGGAGAATGAAATGATAATTACATATTGCACGGAAAAATACCTATCAGTTAAAGGTGTTATAACCAGGCGTTCTGAGTTACCCAAATACTCATACCCATACCTAAAGCAGGTATTGGTTTGACGAACCACACAATCATCAATCTGTTTGTCCCAGTAAAATCGCAATTGTTTCAACCACTCAAATGCTTGAATATCTTGACAACCTTAAAAATAATTTTAATTGTTAAAATTGTTTAGAGTCTCTTTAGCAAGCAAAAATGCAGTCATTTTACCTGCTTTGTACATCTGTTCAATGACATCCCTTGCATGGATCTCTATTGTTACCATACCTACAATTTTTAATCTCTGGATTTTTGTCAGGTTTCCTCGTATTGCGTCAGAAAACTTGTTGAGTACTTGGTCCTAAGATAAGAATATTGACAACAACTTTGGTAGCATTTAGTAATATATGTTGCAGTTTGAAGTACCTACCATTCTTTTACGTAGTTTCTTGAGAGGTTTTTTGCCATCCATGATTTTACAGTGTGTTAGAGTACGTGTGCAACTAGTTGTCCATTGTATCTGTATTGTAAGAAATAACAATAAGTGCAAACTTACGAAAAAACACTGAAAAATATAGAGATATTTCAAAACAAGTATACAAATCTTACTTGACTAGCTGTAATGCAAAGTTGACCAGCCCAATCTTTAATCCAATTGTCTCTCTTGCTTAAATTTTTTCGAAGTGCTTTGCAGCACTGCTTTAGTTGTTCCCGTAAAGTGATGTGCATAGCTTCCTCTGCAATGAAATAAATATAAATGAGCAGGTAGATAGATAAAATACATACCTACAAAAAAATTAACCACTTCCAAGATATTCCAAATTAATTTAGTTATGCTTACCAATAGCACACAGCCACATTTCAACAGGACCTTCAAGTACAACTGGGAGTGAAAATGGAACAAACTCTCCATCTAGTGAGAACATGCCGCGGCATTCCCATTTAAAAATTACCTACAAAGCAAAAATTTTGTTTCACATCCTGCAATAGTTGTGGTTGTCGAACTAGACATGTTTATCTACTAACTTTCTCCACTTTCAGTTTATTTATGGCACAGAACAATTTTTTCAGGTGGGGTTGAACAAGATCTGGTTTTTTTGAATTGGCCAGAAGTTCAAGCAAATCTTCATTCGATATGAAGTAAAACCGTGGAAATATGTGGCGTTTGGTTTCAAGATACTTTTCAAGGGCTCTTTGAATGTCCTCAAATTTTGAATTAATCTGGTTAAGATTGTCTAAAAGACCTGGGAAGAGGCAGAAAAAACTCATTTGTTAGTCCTTTTGTGAATAGTAAATGTGAACATAACTTCAAAATTCTTACCCAGATGATGTGTAGCCTTAATGGCATTTGTGTTGCTTTGCATCAATCCTGTTATTTCTTTCCACAGTGAAGTTAGTTCATCAAAATCTTCTGATTCTTTAGGCAACTGTTTTCGAATATCTTCACCAGTAAAAATATTCTAAAATGAAATGAAGTCAAACTGCTGATTAAAATTTGAGACCTTACATAATATGGAAGGTAAATTGAAACTAATGTGACTTGCCTCTAGGTAAAGCCACTGACGTTGCACAACCAGTGTCATTTCAAGAACTTCTAAAATTAAACTCAATGTCTTTTCCCAAAAATCTACTCTGTCAATGAAGGGGTCAACATATCTACAAGACACAACAAATACATGAAATTTACCATTAGTGTTCACAGATGGGGTTCGAGTCTACTGCATAGTGAGGACAGAATAATTGCTCACTTTGTGGATTTCATTGATGCTAAAGCTACTTGATGTTCTCCCAAAATTTCAAAAATATGATCAACTCCTTTAAGGGAGTAAACATTTTTCACTCTCCCGTGTGAACACATTTCTAGACTTGTTTCTTTCCAGATTTCACTTATAGAGTCCAGTTGCTGTAGAGAATAAAAAAAGCTTACTAGCAGGACTACAAAAACACTTCTAGATTCCACAGATCATTACAAAATTGTTGGACATACATGCTCTATGGCAAGTTCCATTGTTGCAGCAACAGAAATAATGTTAATTGTTTCAGTATAATTCTGCATTCCCATATCAATAATAGTTCCTAGAGTGAAGTCATCAGAACTGTGATCAAAGTCTCTGCAAAACAAAGAAAGGTACACCACATGACACTTGTGAATTGGGGCATACTCAAGACATACAGTAAGTACATGAAGTAGGTGGCTTTAAGGTGAAGTAACAAGATGTAATTAGTGGTAGGCACTAGATTTCAAGAGAACATACCTGCCTAACGCTGTTTGTATTGCAGTCCAGTGACGATCCCTCATGGCTGGGTTTTTTAGGTCAGTAATGAGAGGCAGAGTTTTTCTAAAAGTTTCAACTCTTTCTCGTGTGTGAGTAATTATTTCCCAGTCTTTATCTTTGAGTTCGCGTTGTACAACATTCAGTTTACGGAACAAATTTTGAGCCGTGCCATCCATTTCATTGGAACGAATTTCCAAAAACTTTCCAAATTTGTATGAATCCCAAGTTTGATCCCATTTATTGGTGATTTGCCAAACAACATCAAGAGCAGTCAGATCCTACAAAAAATTAAAACAAAAATGACAGAGAGACATCAAAATTGAAGAAGTTAAAATGTGACTTGCCTTACGCACTATTGTACTACATACCTTCTCAAGACTAGCAAGGTCAACACTATCTGGATATGTTATGTGGAAAATTGAAAGATTTGCTCCAAGCTCAGCTTCCAGTTTTCTTAAATCAAGAAGTTCCCCCCTTTTTTTCTTAATGTAAGCAAGAGCATCTGCACATAAAATTATTGGTAGAAGTGAACTTAGAATGATATTTGTCATGGAGCACACTTTGAATATATCACGTACCAACTGCCTTCCATTTTGATGTAAAGGGACCATTTTGGAGGAAATCTAAAAATAAATCTCGGGCTTTCAATTTCAGTTCATCTGCTTCTTTCAGTAAACCTTTCTGGAAGATGTCCTGTGAGTGGACCAACAATAACATTAAACAAAACAAGTGATGGCCCCAAGTCATTCCCAATAATGCATGAGATTATGAAAAAGACAGGAAGATGATGAAAGGACAAAGGATGATAGAATGTTGTAGCAGAGATAGATTTATTAGAATCAAAAGAAAGGGTAGAAAAGTACAGTATAAAGCAAGACCAGTATACATGAGCATACAGACAACAAAGAGATATACAAATGAATGTTTACATAATAAAAAAAAAAAAAAAAAAAAAAGTATACCTAATGTATATTACATATTTAAATACAGGGTAATCAAACCAAATGGCATACCAGTAAAAGCCCAAAAGCTGTTCCTCCACCTAATTAGTTTTTTAATGAATAGACTCTAGATGTATGATGAGTTATTGATGAATATGAATAAATGATGAGATAAACTAACAATGAATTATTCAAGTGTGAATGCTTGAAAAGGCAAAGTTTTACGACGACCTAGCTTTACCTTGGCCGTAGCAAGCATTTCTTCCCCTGACTTAAGATGATCAAGATACCACTGCCATCGTTGATCTAAAATTTGTTCAGCTTCTTGCATATTGCTTGGAATTTCCACCTCATATTTTCCTGTCACATGAAAGCATCAAAATTTACTTGGTTTAATGCAAAACACAACTACTGGAAAATATTTCACTCACTATAATATTTTGTGTTATATTACATACTTAACACAATCATTTGCTCTCTTATTAAGGGAAACTCTTTTTCTTTCTCTGGAACCTCAGACAAAAGTTGATCAAACAGAGCTAAAGATTCCTGCAAATCTTTCAAGTTTTTTGGCTCTTCATTTATTCTTCAAGAGAATAAAAACAAAATTAAGACAAAACCTTAAACATGCAACGTGTTGTAATGCCATATTTCTTAAATGTTCTAACCTAATTGCATTTTCTGAAGTGTAATTAAATATGTGATCAATTTTCTCAAATGCAAGACTTTGCAAAAGAGCACAAAGCTTTGTACTCCACATTACACAGTGTTCACTTATGGCCTGCTTTAGCGCTGTTGAATTTATAAGCAAAAAATGCACAGGTGATATTGTCTCCAGCATTTGTACTTGGTTTGCAGTATCACTATATCTGTTCAATAAACAATGATATTCAACAAGTTCATTAGTAAATAAAGTGGTAGTGTGGATTTCTATGAATTTTACCATTCTTGCATACCTTGCAATATCTGCCTCAAACACTGCAACAGTAGGATTACTTTTTGGGTACTGAGATACACAATGGTCTTTGTTAACTTCCCATATATCTCTGTAAGGCTCCCATTGTTTTAAATGGATTTTCAATTGTTCAACATTGTTTGCCATCTCTATAAAAAAAAATTGGAATAGGAATAGAAAGAGAACATAAAATAGCAAGAGCATACAAATAAACTCCCACCTTACCTTGATTTAGATTAGCTTGAAGTTTCTTGCATTCCTCATCATTTTCAATGACCTCATAGAATGAGGGGTGAATTACTTTTGTATTAAATCTTTCCCAAAGTCTAGGGACACCTTTCAGGCTGTCCAAAAAACTTTTGAGCACTCTTGAAACCATTGTTCCAACTTCTAAGAGAGTGGGCTCAAAAGTTATCTGAAATATTAGGATTAGATAAAAAGATGATGCCAAGAGAATAAGGGTAGGAGTAGAATTAAGTTTTTATACTAAATTTTTATTACTCTCTCACCTGATTGTTGACCAAGTCTGTTCGCAAAATTATTATAGGGCTCGGACCTGTGGTCCCATCTCCATGTAAAACTTCATACATAACTTGCAGTGAGTTTTTAAAGCACATCTTCAGAGATTCTTCTACTAAAAGGTCCATTTTAGAGATAAACCTTGCCCAATGATCAACCATCTGAACTCGCCGAATAAAAACACATAGAAGGTATCCAGAGTTAAACTCTATTCACATTTTAAAAAACACACACACAAAACAAAAACAAAATAAAGAAGGGAAAGAGGCATATTCTTACATCATTCATGTGGTCATCAAATTTTTCAGAAACAAACCAAAGATAGTCAATTACATCTTTATAATGTTGAACAATTTTTATAGTTACCCCCTTTCTGAAAGCAAAGCAAGCTTCAAAGACCATTTTCATTGAGATAAAATTATAAAGATTTCAACTCTTACCTATATTCATACATCAAATTATCTAAATCTTTCAATTCATAAGCCTTTGTTTGCGGGATGTTTACAAGAGGAGAATCACAAATACGCTCACAGAGAATCACAATCTGCTGCACTGAGCTTTTATAATCATCAATAATATCCTGAACCTGTGATCATAGAACAGTTAATAAGGTTGCTCTCACTTATAACACTTCTTTAATAAGCCCATAAAGAATTACCAAACTTGTAAAGCTTAAACATTCAACCATATAAATGTCAGCAACATCTGTGTCCCAGGTATAACGTTGTAAGCCAGGATTTATTTTCTTGTCACAACCTTTTATCAGTTCTCTAAAAAGAAGGCGCTCTTCATCAGAGAGTGCTGCAAATAAATCGTCATCATGGTCAGAACACACTTTAAAACAAAAAGTTAAGGTTTCTGTAGGTAATTAAAGAAACATACAAGAGATTATGCGATTGTAGTCAAGAGCCACAGTTAAGACACTCTCATAAAGAAAACTTAAGCTTTTCCAACGGTTTGCTAACTGTTGAACAGCTGTCGGAACAGACATGCTCATGTCTGACCAGTACCAAGCCTCTTGTACAATGTGTTTAATCTGCCTGAAAAACATAGAGTTAAGTAGGTTTTTTCCTCTGTTTTTTTTTTTACATTTTTCATATTTATACCGTGTATTTTAAATTTAATAACCCTCATACTTGTCAAAATTTGGCTCCAACAATCCCGGTTTGGAAGTGCTATGAACCAGTAGCTTACGATTAAGAAGTTTTGATACATCATCATCAAGGGAGAAAAGCCATTTACGGTGCAAATCTCTAATGTAATCATCAACTGATTCAGAGAGTTTTTTGAAATGTATCCTGACTTCTTCGCCCTTTCTGGAGAGGATCATCCATTCTGCTTCATTAAGTTTCTGTAAAAATTTTGGAATATAAGAAGTTAAGGTAAAAAATGCATAATAGGTGCATTTCAGACCGATTACAAATTGGAATAAATTTACATCTAAAACTTTGCCTAGCTCCCTTTTCTTCATTAAGGCCATCATAGCTCGACCTGAATATGAGGGCATAACAAATGGGTGTTTTTCTTTGTCAGCAACCAACATTGTTTTCATTTTCAACATTGCACAACTGAAAGAGTCATAAACCTAAAACATTAAATAAAATAAAAAAATAATTGATATTGAATAGATTGAGTACAGAAAGGCAACCATTTGAAGGTACCTGAAAAGTTTTCTTTTCAAATAAGTCTTTCAGGTTGGGCCGTTTAGCATATTGGTATGTGGCCCATAAGACATCAATTCCTTCCTCAACATTTTTAACATTCTCAAAAGCTGCAGCCACTAGATTGTCAATGATTATCTCAATATCACGTATCCGTTTACGGAATCTAAAAACAAAAACATTACTGTTGTGAGACAAATCAAAAATTGTCTCCATATAAATGCCCTAAATATGAATGCAACAACACATACCTGAAAATACTATCATACCACGATGAAGCTTGGACGTCAAGAATTGTATGCTGCACATCTTTTATGTCTTGCAAAGCACTAGAAAAATTGTGTTCAATTTTGTCACAAATCTTCTCAAATTCAGAGCCTCTGGTGCCAAAAAATTGTGGCTTTGCAATGTCATCTGTTTCATCAACTCTGAAAAAAAAGAAGAAGTTAATTTTAGATTTAATTACCCACAAAAATGAGAACAATTCAGAAGCCATACCTCCCAAAGACAATCATAGCTTCACAAACATCAATCATGTCCCTGCACCGTTGCACAAAGGAGTCAACATGATTAAAAATAGTGGCTCGATCCAGATCCCATGATTTATTTGTATGTCGTACATGGGCGCTTGCAATCTGTGACGAAAATGAGTATATCAAAAAATAAGAAACGAATCAAAAATTATTGATGTAATGTTTCAAGATGTCATTCAAGTCTTTTACCTTATCATAGAGCATTTTGTAGTGCTCACAACAAGTTATGCAGTTGTTCAAAATTTTAATGCCTGAATGTGTGCTGCCATTATGCAATATTTCATCTAGATCAACTGTAGATACACACTGAAGAATTATCTGATTACTTAGAGCCCTAAAGAGCACTGTCAAGCGGGATCTGTTGAGTTGGATGAAAACATGATTGATTGACACTTTTAAAACAGAGTTAAGAAAACATATTGATAACCCATTATAACTTACGTTGAATTGTAATAAGGGGAGTTATTCCAGATTACCCTAAAGAGGCTGAGAATATCAGGAATACGTTCTGGAATCTCAGAAACAGACTCAACTTCTTCTAATTGATTACAAGGATCCATTAAGAGACTCAGATATTCCACATTTGATTTTGCTTCCAGCAAGGCTTCCTAGATACAAACACAATTTTAGTTTGTGACATGAAATACAAAAATTAAAAGCCCTTAGACGAAAATTTAAATTGTCAGGCTTACAAACCATTATCTCATCTTGTAGGAGATAAAAATTATTAATGTATGCAGATTGAGAAGCATTGAGGATGTTGCATATATGCTTTAGATCTTTATTTTCCAGCTGATGTTGTAAGCCTCGAAGATTTTCATCTGCATGGGAAAAAGAGAAGAGAGATAAAGTAATAGTTTGAGATGTATATCAAGTTACTAAGGAGTAAACCCTCAAGACTCACATCTGTATTTCCAAAATGAAAATTCATCTTTAGGGCACAAAAGCTCATTTATGGTGGACTGATCTTTATCACCTAGGGCTACTCGAATTTGCTTCATCCAATGGACAACAACCCCTACAAAAGTTGAGAAAATTAGGAAATAAAAAGTAACAGATGCATATGATTTTTATAAAAATTGTGATACCTTCTAAGCGTTTTATCAATTCCTTATCATGTTGTGCTTCATCAACATCGACGTTCAAACCTTCTTTAGGTACATAAATTACAGTTACAGCGAGCATTTTGTGTCTTAAGTCAGTCAAATTTCCCAAAAAGCTGTGCATTTGTGAACAAAAGTCACTTTTCACACCTTTGAGGAGAGTTAAGGATATTTAAACTAAGAAGAGACAGTATTGCAGATAGGGAAAAAAAATTCTCAACAAGAAACTTAAACTCTTTTAAAAGACAAGAAAAAGGATACTGTCAGGCCATGTTGTTGTATTAAAAAATACAGGAGCATACACGTTTTCTAAAACTGCTAACAGGGATCCTTCCACGGTTGTATCCATTGTTCCAAACATAACAAAGTCATGGAAATTTTCAACTGTGACAATATCATTTGAATCCTGAAAAATAAAAATTAAATAATACAAGTGTTATTGCAAATTTTTTGTGAGTGTAAATATTATTATTCTGTATTACCTTGATAAAGTACGTTAGATCGCGAATTGGCGATGTAGGAATGTGAAGTGTTGCTTCGAGCTTCAAATCATTGAAATATATACTCAGGACTTCTGTGCCAGGTAATTCAAAATAATCTTTTATAACTGAGTATACTTCATCATTCCAATCTTCCTCGGCCAGATCAAAGAGAGTTGTACATCGCTTGATTTTCCCAACCTAAGATTGTTTGAGAGCAAGAGAAAAAAGACACGAATGAAAGCAAACATCATCTTAAATAAAAGGTCGACAAGAGTTGTCATGTTGTTTTTTAAAAGAATTACAAGTGCTTGGATGTCATTTGGGCTGTATTGGTTGATGAGAACAGGTGGGGGCAGGTCCGCTGTCTCCTTCTCCTCACCACCCTCCCCCTCTTCTCGAATTTCGCTATCTGTTATAATCAAAAACAGAAACACGGCAAAGAAAGTTGCTTGAGTGGATAATATGCTCAGAGTTTAAATCGTCGATAAAAGACGAAATCACAACAGTGGCGGGAGCCGGCTAACCTTTTCCCGTGCTAACGGTGTTCTCCTCGTCGTCATAGTCAGAACGAGCCGTGGGCGTGTCCGGGGCGCCTTGAGGAGGGCCGTCCATGTTCTTGAACCAGTATTTAGCAGGTTAACGCAAAGTCAACGCCAATCTTTGGCACCGATAAGACATTTGGGTAGTCTGCTGCTGTTTACAAAACAGTCGTCTGAACTTGCCTAGCAACCTGCTGGAGCTGGCTCTGGGAGAGGGGCGGGGAGAGGGGAGGGGGAGAGAGGCTGAGGGTAGGAGTGGGGGAAGCGGTGGCGTGACGTCACCTCTAGCTCGACTCCGCAGGGAATGACCACACGATGCTTCGAAGCCGAAGGCTTATCGGCAGTCACAACTTTATACTTTCTGCTCAGCGCCTACTCAGAGCGTGTACTTTACGCTCTCTCACGTCATATAATCGCCATTAAGAGTTTCTTGACGAACAAACTGTGATTTACCCGACTCGGATTTACCTCAACATTCAAAAAGAATAGCTTCAGGCACTTGTAACTGCTCGCACTCGTAACATGGTGTGGCCTATGTGGATCACAATTTCGTAGTTATACCAGGCACGAATAAGGGGAAGGGGGGGAGGGGGGCTTGGTCTCTAGAGAGCCGCCTGAAAGGTAGGCGATTTGCGCCTCAACACCCCTGACTGAGGCAACCGGCAGTCTCCCCCCCCCCCCTCCCCCCTGCAAGTCGGACCTTAATCCGCGCCTGGGTTATACTGTACCGCATGCAGCCGTGTGGACGCATTGCCATCTCGCAAGGGGCCCGCAGAGGTTGGTGAGAGACAGTGGGCACAGTAAAGGGTATAGGCAGGCAAGCCCGTCCCCAAGACTGTCTCAACCAGAATATATTTTTTTTTTCGAGATGTGTAACGGGTGTGAGCTCAGTCTGCTACGGGCCGTCTGGCACGCCCACGGTCAAGGTTTGAGTTGTAGGGGTGCGGCGGGG